CTGAAAAGTACGGAAAAAATCATTTAAGGTGGTTAAATTGAAATATTTAATAAAGAGATGAACAGAAGTTATGAATTTTTAAATAAAAAGCGATTTCACCAAAAAGTAAAAAATCGATAAATTTCAATAATCCATAACTCTTGAATTAACAATCCTAGAGCAAAAAAATTTTATGCTATGATTCTTCGTTATAAGAACAACAAATAAGTAAAGTTTAAACAAAATCGGTGACAAAAATTTTTTCACCTGGTACACTTGGCAAATTTTGCCCCATATAACAATAGTATATTACACTACAAGGGCAGAAAGTGTGAGATTCCTGCACTGCGCGCCATGATGCCCGAGGCGAAGCCGAGGGCATCATGGCGCGCAGTTCAGGACTCTCACACTTTCTGCCCGTGTAGTGTATACTATTTTTCTTACTACCCTGCAGAAAATACGGGAAAAAATTAAATGTATATAAAAAAATTTGTGTCAAAATTAAAATCTGACGTTTAATTTAATTCTGACGTTTACATTCAAAATCAATCAAACTGTAGCGTTGTCATGGTAATTCAGCGGTGCCAATACAGTAAAAATAAAAGGTTGTATTTTAATTAACAAATTACTACTTTATAACAAATAAAAGTACCATTAAACACTTAAAACAACATAAAAAGTAAAAAAGTAAAAACATAAATTGTTTATTTGTTGTTATAATTGCAAAATTATGGTTTAAAACTGTCATATTTTTGTGTTTCTCATGTTGGCAGTACGAAATTTAAATGTTAAGCACGCGACTAAAAAATTTTTACTCCCGCTATTAGAGTGTGCGCGTATAGCTTGACCAATGCAAGAAACGTAAACTTTCTGCCGTGAAATCGGGGACGAAACAACGTATTTTGAGTCGAGGTAGTAAGAAAAATTTATTTTAGATCTGTCTAACCATTAAAAAGATCTATATACACAGTAAAAAAAGCTTTGTTAATTTTAACATAATAAGATATTAAGTTAAGCCAGGTGCACATATCTTTCTGTTAAGTTTCTGAGCAATTTTCCTTTTACCCCACTTTCGCATTTTGTATAGCTATAGTTATTGCATAATAAGTATAGTTGTTTTTTGGGTAATAAATCTATTAGTTATATTATTATTATTATTATATGAACAAAAAAGTTGTGGCTAAAAATACCCTACATACACTCAAAAAAAAAACTTAAAATTTTGTTTATATATTTAAATTTAGCATAAAAAGGAAATAATATTAAAAAACATCTTCCTGGGGGCCCTTTTAAGAGGCTCCATTAGGGGCCATTTGATTGTATGACATTTGAATACTGTCAACTAACTTCAGCTCGTTACTAAAAACCAGTTGCTAACTTCAGCCACAACTTGTCAATGTGTATTTAAAAGGTCATAGAAATATGTACGATAATTGTCGTCTTAAAGGAAGGGATGTAGAAAAAAAAATGTATATGCACGATTGTACTATTGTACTAATCTTTTGATATCACCGGCAGTAAATTAATTTATGCCGATAAAGCGTTTTAAAATCAATTGGTAATCATTGAATAGGAAATTGAACTAAATTTGATTTATAATACACAGCGCGATTTAGTTATTTGGTTGGAAACACCTATTATAATATAAATAATTATTTATTATATTTTTAAACAAAGCCGATTTTTTTAAATATTTGTGTTTTAGACAGATTTTAAAATAAATGTATTCATGAATATTACATTTGAATTAAAACTGTTTTTACATATAAATATTTACAGTAGCGGTTTTTGGAACTAATTCAGTGTTTAAATGAGGTATAGAAGTTGATTTATTAAAAGCATTGGAATATTCTGCAAAATTATTTTTATTGCCAGTGCATACATTGAACAGATATTGGTTGAATTATTTTTAAAATATATAATGCAGTTGGTATTTTTGTGTAGGCTTTGGAAGTTTGTAATTATTCAGGAAAAATGACAATTGAATACGTCAATGCAGAAACTGAATATGTCCTACCTATCTAGTTTTGAGATAAATAAGAAAAACTGAACAGAAAGTGGACATATGTTCTGGACATATTCAGTTTCTCTACTATATTAACGCCTTTGTATATTCTAGATTACCGTGACATGTGAAATTTCTACGCCATTCGATCGGGCTCCCTTTACTTATAGTAAATCCATGTTTAACTCAATAGCCCTAAAAAGTGGACATATTCAGTTTCTGCATTGACCTATTCAATTGTATAAAAATTCTTGTTAATTATGGGTTTAATTTCACTAAGACTCTTTTCAAGAAAAATAATAAAAGAAAGCTACAATGTCAAAAACTTGATATAAATAAAAATATAAAATGTTCTTTTAAGAATTTTAGAATTTATTATTAAAATTAATAAATCTTTTTTTAATTTCGTGTAAATAATGCGAAATTCTGCGAACGTCTAGTAAAATATAACAAAGCAAGTTGATAATAGGCCATATTTCAAAGGTAAAAGGTTATTTCCGGAATATTTTCTGCAAAAAGAATTTGCTTACTGACCTATAAACCACATACCTTACGACCACGAGATTACCTCACCAGCAAATATTCAAAGGATATATTTTAGAAATGTAATTTTTGGAACGACCACTTTGATTATGCATTACCACTGAGCCCAATAAAAGTTATTATTTGTTTGCTATTTTCGGAATGGATGGGCTCTCGAAAATGGAGAAAAACAAATAATACTTAATCATATAATGCAATCAATAAAGTGAAGTTTTAAACTAAATTGGTCTTTGACCTTACATCGTAATATTTTACTAATAAAATCAAAGATTCGCTGTAGGCAATTCTCGGCATTAATTTCTAAATCACAGTATTTTTATTTGGACTCAAGTTTATATTTTTTAATATCGAAGGTTTGTTGCAAGCAGCTTTATAAAAACATTTAAGTACTTCTTATTACTTTTCAAGCAATATTGACATTATTAGCTTGTTGCGCCCACGATATAAAATATATAGAAGTTTTTTTTTCACAGTGATAACGTTTTGAAACTTTGTATAAGTAAGAATAAATCGATTGATGTGAATACAAAAAATAATAATAATAATAATTGTATATTTTTGATTTTTATAAAAAAAATACTAAAAAATAGACGTCATATACAGCTTTCAAAAGCTATCAAATTGTTTTTTGTAAATTAATGTGTTAATTTTGAGGTGCCGTGTATGACATGTCCAAGTATGGGATGATTCAATAAAACTGCCACTGTCATTCTCCATAGCCTATGGATGGACCATAGCAACATTAGTTATTCATACAGAAAAATATTGGAAATTGCAATGTTTTTAAAAAAATCCATATTTTCCACAAAAATAAATATATCGAGGTGAACCAAAAACAAAACTGTTAAGAATAGATGTGACTTGATAAATAAAACTTAATTTAGAACAATATACGGTTTTGCCACTCTACAGAGTGTCTTAAACTTATGGTAAAAAACATATTTTTGTTTAAACCTGTATATTATAAACGTACGTCTATTTTTCAATATTTAAAATGTGAGCGATTGTCCATTAATTTATCTACAATATTATTTAATATTCGTTTAAATCCGACATCAAATAAAAAAGTTATTTGCGATTGAAATTCATCGAAAATTTGTGTGGATCGATTATTTTGCACGTGAGTGTATTTGTTGATTTGTTGTGAACCTGTTACATTTTGTCACAGATAGACTAAAGTCTCCACCCCCTTCCCACAAGGTCACACGTCACACTCAGATTTTTTATTTTCTTTTCTTTATAGATTTTACCAATATATTAAAAAAAATTTGATCGGTACTGTACCTACCGCATGTATGGGGGATGTAGGTGGCTGATATGTAAGTTTTTAAGTTAGTTACTACTTAAGTTTATTTGACGAAATACATATTTTCATTACAATACAATTTGCATCCAGGGTTGTCTTAAATGTAGTCAACAATATAGGTATAGAAAATTCCAATACACCATTGCATTAGCACCCAGTAAAAAATATTTCTTAATTTTAACCAAATATTAACCAGATTTTATGTTAATTCAGGTCCACATAACTTTATGTTAAGTATAAAACCAACTGTAATCTGTTAACCAATTTAATAAATAGTTTCTAATTATAACAAATATTTTGTAGGTTTAATAACAAAATCCTACATCAATAGTTTAACCACAATTCTTGTAATTTTCAAAAAGGATCATATTTTTACAAACCTTTTTGTACACCCAGTAACAAAAGTATTTTTTGGAAATTGGGAACTTAAATAAAAAGGATTTTAATAAGAAATGTTGCTTTATTCATTAATTTCCTAAATAAAAAATTAAACATACCTACATAAATGAACACACTATTATGAAATCATCAAATTATAAAAAAAATTGGTACTATATAATTATCAAACTTGTTACCTTTACAAAACTTCCTTTGTTAAAATATTTACAAACCCTGGTTTTCTACAAAAAATTATAATTATAAAATTTTACAAAATAAAATTAACAAAGTACAAATCTTAACAAATCTGATTTTTATAACAGTGTATATGCCTATAATTAGTAATTATTAATTACTAATTTACTAAAAAACACATTTAGAAAGAACAATTAAAGTAAATAAATAATAAAAAAATAATTAGCATTATACATATTAAAAGTATAAATACAATTTTTTTTAACAAATTTTATTTTTTTTACATCCTTTATCTCCAAAATGTTTTTTCTTAAAATTAGCCAAAACATGTTTTGAAACACCCTGTATAATTTTCTATTACTTATTAAAAACATGTAAAATTTATTTTATTTGTTCTCTAATCATATTTGTCATTTTCTGTTTTCAATAAACCGATAAAATTCATTTGAATAGACAAGTTACTTTGTAAATTGTAATCAGCAAATTAATTTAACCAAATAACTCTAAAAACTACTCAAACGCCATCTAGGGGAAGCACCACAAACTTAAACCACATCCTACAGAAACCTTTAATGTAATGAAGCAACATACATTGGAATGATTATTTTATTACGTTAATAATATATCATTAGTAGTGTAACATATAAATACAAAAACTGGTTAAAAAAACACAATATCTTCTGAAAAAGCACCACACAGCCTAAATTCATTCTTCGACAAAATCGCGCGCAGAAACTGGGGACATCTAGCGGAGCATGAAGCAGGCTTAACAGCGGCAACCCTCATCACAAATTCCCTTTGAAACGGAGTGGGCAGTGGGTTGATTAATTTTTCATTTGTTTCGCCTGAAATCATGTTGGCAGTGTTTTGAGCGTCGGAGAACATTGAGAGGACTCTCGAACCGATGTTGGAGTTACTTTTTTCCAATAGTTCTATTTCTTTGCCTATCACGAGGTCGCCGATTTTTTCATTGATTTCATTATCGAATGAACCTGAGGGGTTGAATTTGTATCCCAGTGAGTTGATTTGAGAGAGAGTTAGTTCAAAATTCGACACATCCTGTATGAAAGCATCAAATCTGCGCGGTTGAAACTTAACATCTCTTGAAATTCTCTCAACTTGCTTCGTCATAGCGGTAACTCTTGCAGTAGCCTGCAGTATATTCACCGTAATACCGTTGTATTCATCTACAAGTCTGTAGAGGGCGCCATGGGCTAACACCGGCACAATCAACTCGCAAATTTGCGATAAGTTTCTGTAGTCCAAAAACTGTAAAATCTTTTCTGCCTCTCTGGTATCATCAAACAATCTCTTCTGTCTATGAGCCGGAACTGGTTTTGCCGTCTCCCACATCTGCACCCATATATTGTTTTGTATATTCATCCTGGGGCTTAAATAACCACCATCTTCATTTTCTTCATCTATAATCCAGTCATTCGGTGAATACCACCGAATGAAGTCCTCCACTATAGCACCTGGATTGGCAGCCTTAAAAGACTCCATGTCTGATAGTAGAGAGGCCGACATAATTCTCGCTCTAACCTCCGACGCTTCGTTATCGTCTCCCAAATTCAACAAAACCTCCGTATCCTCCTCCAACTGATCTTCGGTCTTCAACACAGGCTCCTGCGTGACCGGAATATACAACGGATCTCCAGTTTTCAGCAACTTCAGTTCGTTGAACTTCCCAAGTCTTCCCACAGGTTGGTTCCACATCGAGTACTTTTTGTTTGAGTCGCCATCTTCACTGCATTCGTAAAACTCATCGTCGTCTTCTGAGGAATTTTCTGCATCGACAAAATGTTGGGAGGCTCTGTGAGTTTCCCTGGCTATTTTTCTTTCGATGCAGCAGTTCAGCATTTGGAGTTTTTGGTTCAGGAGGCAGGTTCTTAGGTCCGGGAAGCCTGAAGGCAATCTGAAATAAAAGTGATTTGAGTGAAAATCAGGAAGAAACTAAAAAATTCACTCTAGCGGATTTGAAATTCCATCTGAATTGGTTCAATGGTAAAGATAGAAAAAAACATTAATTTATAATCGGATATGCGAACGTTTTAATTAAATCAACGTATACATAATGTCATACATTTCGCACCAATTAATTAACAATAAGAAACGCCCAAAAAAAGAAAACGCAAACGTTTTTAAATGTAAGAGTTGCGTGTCTGAAAAGCTTGAGATTTCGCTATCTAGAGCACATCGTCACTAAGAATGAATTCTTTGAAGGAATAGGAAATTTTCTTTTTTATATATAAGAATACCTTACGGTAAAACAAGGCGCAAAAGTAAATACCTTATACAGATAGGTTAATTATAACTATTACCAATAAGGTTTTATGAGCATCGCCTATAACTGCCAACAAGTTTATTAAGTTGTTAATGGTCACGTCTAACGTGGGAGATTTAAGATATCTTACATATAATATGCAAAACTGACAATTATAAAACAATTTTTGTAAATTTGATAACGTTTTTGACACCTGGCAACATTGCATTTTAAAATCTGACAACATTGCATTTTTTACAACAGCCGTTTTTTAAAACTTACAATATTTAACGGTTTTTCATACAGCTTAGAAGTAAAAATAGCCAAAAACACAATGAACCATTTGTTAAAATGGTTAATTTTTGAATTTTGTAAACTTTGGATTTTTGTAATCTGGCAACGTTACTTTTTTTGACATCTAGCAACGATATTGTGTAAACAAAAAAATCCTGGAATTTACCATACCTATGGCAGCATTGGCTATGCTGTATTGTTAAGTTTGGCAACGCTGCTATTCATCATCTGGCAACATTGCAATTTGACTTTTTGACGGTTTACAATCTTTTTTTAATTAGAATTTTAATTTGGTACTGGTATATTAAAGAACTAATGTCATAAGACGTAATTTTGTCGCACGCGGACAATTTATAAAACGAGCGACGAAGGAGCGAGTTTTGTAATGGACGAGTGCGACCATAGGTCTTATGACATGAGTTCTTTATGCTATTTTGCAAAAAATCTATAAAAAAAAAATATTTTATACCTTAAATTTAATTTGGTCGAATTTTACTTTACATAGTTGGTATCAAAGTCATTGGTTTGACAGTTAATGTCAAGATCGATTCGCCATGCCGTCTTTAATTTACTTATTTACAATAAGCGGCTGTTAATGTTAAAGAAGAAAAAAAGGATTTTCTTTGGTGTTAAACAAAATTTATTTCCAGAAAAGTCTCGTAAGTACTAGAAAAATCATAAAAATATTATAACCAATATGCAAAATATCATTTTAATAGTATGCTGTTTAAAGTATAGCCAACCTACAAAATCAAAATTTTGGGTGGGATAAAGTATCTCATTACATCACCGAAAGCGGTGTTATAATAAAGTCATTATGAACGCAAAATATAATTGATGATTTTTATATTTTTTGTTTTTACGATTTTCTTGAATAAAAACCCAAAATAACAAAAAAACATGTTTTTTTAATCTGGCAATATTGCAATTTAAAATTTTGAAATTTTAATTTACTTATTTAAAAACCAAGAAGACCAAATACAGAAGGAGGAACTAATTATTTGACGTTTTTTTTTACCTTTTTACGTTTTTTTTTATAAAAATTGATTTTTTGAAATCTGGCAAAATTGAAATTTAAAATTTCGATGTCTTTATTTTTTTCTCACTTAAAAACTAAGAGGAGTAATTTGCCTGCCAAAAATGTAAGTATAGTAACCAACCGATGCGCAAAATGTTAGTGGGCACATCTTATGCCTTGTGGCCCTACTTTTTTAGTCTTCTTGTTAAAAACACAACAAACACATTTAAAATTTAAAATACCTCAAAATACCAAATAAACTTCTTCTGGCAACATGGCATTTTGAAATCCGGCATCCGGAAATCTCTTTTACATCTGGCAACATTGCGAAATTTGAAAACGTTGATTTTTTACGTTTTTGTTCAGTAAAAAATACTTCTAAAACTAAAAAACCTTTGTATACCTGTACTAAGTAAAACTTCATGTTTTATTGATTGTTTACAATTTTCTGAAAAACAACAAAAACCTGATTTGTATGCACGAGCTATAATTTAAAAATCCTGTTGGTATTTAGTTACAACAAGATTGGACATGGAAATTGTTTGTGACCTTTTTAAACGGGACAAAGTTAGTCATGATTCAACCACAGGAAATTAACAAAAACTTTTAAATTATTTCACTGAGACATCTTCAGTGTTGGCAAGTTCATCAATTTACCTCGGGTGGTAATAAACTTTTGTCACTGTTAATAACATAGGATTTTCTGCCTTTTTTTTGGTAAACATGAAGGAATCCCGGGAATTTTAAGCTTTTGATTTCTTTGTTTAATCTTCTTATAAGGATTATACGTAAGTTTATGGTATATGGGTGGGTAAGGGTGCATATTTGAAGGTAAAGGCAATAAATTTGAATTAAAAACTAGTTGTTGTAGCAAATTGAATACCGTAACAAAAAAACATATGTGTATAACTGTGTAGAAGAAAAAACTCTTCTATATAGGATTTACAAACGAAAATATTCCATTATGTTGCATGCGCGTATATGAGAATTATAATTTATTACTCAGCTAACCATAGATTACCCATAACTGTGACTTTTAACGGTTAATAATGAAAATACACATTCAATGAAAGTTGTTCACTATAGAAGCAACTAAATGTTTAATGGTTTGATTAATTTTTTTTTGGTGCTCGAGCAGAAATGTTTCTTTAACCGTTCTGTTTAATCAAAAATAATAATTATACTAATTGTATCTTGTTACCAAGTTAAATATTTGGAAACTGTAGTCTGCAGATTTAAAATAATTGGTGAAGTTTGTGTAAGATGTCCTACCCACTAGTAATAAAACAATTACCTACATATCCCACAGTTTTAATGTAAAAATGTTACAAAACAATTCATAAACATTATTTGTTACCTAAATAATGCTTAATTAACAATAACCATCGAGATTATATTATTTACAACCCACCTTTTAATTAAGTTATTGCATAAAATTCGCCTATGGTAAAAACTTTTTGTAAGTGTGGAACAGGGGCAAAAAAAAGTTTTTGCAGTTTTAGAATTTTATTGAAATTACAATTTTTCAAAAATAGCAATCAAAAAAATCAAAACACGACCTTAGTAAAAAATCGCTGTTTTTTGAGATATTGCCATTTTTATGATTTTTTTACAACTTTACACCTTAGATCAGTTTTTCGAGTGCCACAGCTACGAAATTCCATATTCTAAAATTCTATTTTATGTTGCGCCACCCTAAATAGGCCTGCTATTGATTACAGTTTAAAATAAAACTAAAAAACACATTTGAAAACAAACAATTTAGCCCAATTTTTATAAGTTTTTTTATTAGCTAACTGTTCAGACTGTAAAAAATATATCAACTTGGCACGATTTAATTTTTTTTTTAAGTTTTTAAAATTGTATAGGTTCTTTCCATTTCAAAAAGACCGGTTAGCGCAGGTCATGATTTTCCTTAAATATGTTGTTTTTTGGTCGAAATAATGAGACACGTATTTTTTGCCAAAAAAATTTTTTTTGTTGTTTTTTGCGATTTATTTTTTGCGGTTGACCGAAAAATCCTTTTTTTTTAATGCCTATGTTCAAAAATTGACCGACTGACAAATGATATTGCAAAATGCTTGTACTGATTAACACTTTCCTTTAAATTCATTGTGATTATTTTTTATACGATAAAAAACGAAAAGTACGGAATTTTTTCAAAATTTAATTTTTCAAAAAGTGTATTTTTTATTTTTTTTATTTATCAAAAAGTAGACAGTCCAAACTGCATTTTGACTAAGGGACTGTTAGCCAAAACTTTTTGATATGATTTTTTTTTCAAATTCTATTTTTTTCCCTATACGATCGCGTGCTGCTAAATAAATTTGATTTTTAAAGTAAGTTTTATGTGTAATAGCGTACCGGTCGTTTTAAAATGTAAAGAGCCTATAACATTGGCCATTGTTTACTTTAAAGAAAAAGATACAGCTCGGGAATTACTAATTTTTTAAAACAATATTACAACTTTTGGGACACCCTGTATACATACATACATTTCTATTTGGTTATAAATCATTTTTTCAAGTATTGTTTGTTTTTACATAATACAAAAACTATAATAATAAAAAAAAAAAAAATAAAAAATTCATCATTTCATTTTTCTTTTTTTTTAATAAAACAACTATTTTTTATTTATCTTTTATTCAATATATATTGGAAACAAGTCTTGATCTTTTAGTTGGACGATTATACATTGCTTTAGAATCTAGTTGTATCACAACCTAAAAACACAACTAGATATTTCGTAAATGTGCAACACCCCGTATAAAATTTAAATGGTTTTAAAATTTAGCTTTTGTGGTTGTTCATTTATTTAGTAAATAAAATTTAAAAAAAACCCTAAACAGTACCTAGCTGTTATCGAAGCTGTTATATTATGGGCCGAATACTGTGGATAACATTTTATTGGCGCTCTAAAAAAAATTAATTAATCTAAAAAAAAGCCAAGGGGATATTTTGTAATTCTATTTTCAAAATGGGGAGGGAAAAAAATCAAATGTTGTCGTCAAAAATGTTAAGAGGCTTTTTTTGTAAAGCATTTGATTTCACATAAGAATATTTATCGGTTTTTTTATGGGTACTGATTTTTACGTGAATTTCAAAATTCCAAAGTTAAAAGATCAAAATTTAAAACTATACCAATGTTTAGGGCATGATTTTAAGGAAACGGTTCATCTGACGAAAAATTTTATTTAACCTTTTTTGTAGAGCATTTAATTTTCTTAAAAAAATATTTTCAAGTAAATTTTGTTAAACTCAATGGTTTTGGAGTTCTGAGAGAAAAACTTGATGAGGGAAAAAAAATTAAAATAATATTATGGACTCAAACTTTCACAAT